GTTTTCAAGGCCGCCGTCGAGGACGAGAGGGACAACCCCGAGCTCACGTGCGTGTCGAGGCTCCTCGAAGGGGCGGAGGACGCCTGCACCGAGGCGTCGGTGAAGTTCGTTCAGGAGAAGCGGGGCAGCGCGGTGTCCCACCTCGCTTGGGAGTTCGACGGCATCGGGGTGAACGTCGGCGTGCTCGATGACGCGCACGCTTTCATCACCGATGCTGAGAACTACGTCCACAAGGCGACGGGTTACAAGAGGCCCTCGCTGCGAATAAGGAGCGCCGTTGCTTTGAGACACTTTGCGCGAGCGGACAGCAGCTGCCCGTCGACGACGGGCCTGGGGGCCCCGACCAGATGGCGTCGTACTTCACCGATGGCAATTGCTTCCAGGCCGCAGTGGTCGCATCCTGCGGGTGCGGCAAGCCACCCCTTCCAGCCCCAGAGGCAAACTCGCGCTCCTATCGCGAGGTCGCCCAGCACTTCGAGATCAGCGCCTCGCGCAATGCGGCCTGGGTCGGAGAGCCAGCTCGCATCGGCTCGCGCCCGTGGAGCCGCGACGACCTCTCTGGCACATCAGCCTGGCGGGAGGCATCATGGCGTGCTTCTCCGCGCGTCGGCAGTGGGTTCAGGGGGAGAACGGAAACCAGAGCAGACGTTCGATCTGATCGCACCCAGTGGGGCCACGAGAAACGGCGGGCCCAGGGTGGCAGGGTTACGCGGTCGGGGGGGCATACAGAATAAAAAAAAAAAAAACAAGAAAAAAAATGCAAAAAGACCAAAAGAAAAAAAAAGGGCGATCGGGCGCGGCCCGATAAACGCCTGGGCCGTGCGCTTCGCATGAGATTTGAGCATGGCCCGCTCCACGGATGCTTTGATGGACCTGCAAGCAGGCGCCTCTGCGAGACCGCCAGTCGATGTGCAGCTGCCGATCGCCGCCGCAGAACCAGGCGGAGTCGACGTGGGGTTGCCGTCCGACTGCGAGGAGGACGCCGACGAACCCGACGAGCACTCATTCATGGAGATGTTCTGCAACGCGCTTGGAAAGGAGGCCGCGGACTACCAGGTCGAGGTCGGTGGATGTCGATCCCGCGTTCAATGCCGCTGTCTCCTGTGCCCTTGGCGATCGTTCAGCCGCCGCGAGCACCTCATCGAGCACCAGAAGCACCACAGGCCGCCGAAGTTCGTCGCGTCTCGGGAGGACGATGCCCTCTTCAAGGTCGCTATGTCGCTGTACAGGTTCGACCGCGTCTGCTCGGTGTTGAACCGCGCGGCTCAGAAAGACGGCGGCTACCTGGCCCGCGCTGCCGGTCTGCTTCGAGAATGGAATCGCGACGCTCCAGCGGAAGCACTGGAGGCTGCGCGCCACTCCAACGAAGCCCACATTCGTCTTCGTCGTCACAGAGCGGGCCCGCGTACTGGTTGCGCGCCCAAGTGCATTGACTGCGTCCCATTAAACGCCAAGATCGCGTACACCAAAGCGGCGAGGATTCCCTGAATCAGCCTGGCCTTGGGCTCGCCGGGCGAGATGCGTGATGGGCCATCTCCACAGGCAGTGGTCCCGCGACGGCACGTCGCCTTTCCTGGCCTGCCGCCCCCAGCTCTTGCGGGAGATCATGGACCACGTGTTCCGCCGCCCCGACGGCCTGGCGCAGCTGTCGGTGCGACGGCTCATGGGCGAGGAAGTGGCCCGCGGCGAGTTCTCGGCACTGACCCACGATGGCACCTTCAAGTTCTTGTTCTCGGTCATCGGCCAGAAGAAAATGGACCAGAAGAAAGGCGGGATCTACGTCGGCCACACTCTGATGGGGATGACAGGAGCTTGCCCTGGATTCAGCGCCCAGCCCGATGAGAGCACGGAGAGCTTCGGTGCAGCGGTCAGGGAGCGGCTGACCCCCGCTGCGGTCGAGCAGGTGCGGATGCTTTACTCCGACGCCCCGAGCGAGAAGATGTTGGAGCATCTGCCGAGGTGTCTCGGCGTGGCACAGGACAGACTGCACATTGCCTTGCGGGCCGAGCAGTGCACGGACGGGAAGAGGACGGCTTGCTCATTTGAGTTGCTGCAGCTCACGAGGAAGTTTTCCCGTCCTCTCGGCGTGCCCGAGGAGTACTTGACGAGGGAGATCTACCATGGCCTCCCGATGCCCGAGGTGGTCTGGGGTGACGCGCAGCCCGCGCGCGAGCGTGCCGACAAGGACTGGGCGGATTTCTGCAACGAGCCTTTCGTCTCGCACGCGGAGCACGTGGCCGAGTTGAGGCGCATAGTCCAGAAGCACGAGAAGATCATGGACAGGAAGAATTCCAAAGGCGTGCCGCTCCGAAAAGTTTTGGAGAGCGCGAGCTCCACGAAGAACTACTACTACTTGCGCAACAATTCGGTGTTCGCCCAGCTCTCTCGCGGGCAATTGGTCGTCCAGGGCACGCCCCAGAACGAGGCCGAGCAAAGGAACATGAAGCGCTGGGCGTGGTGCGTGTGGCAGCAGCACGAAGACCGCGTCCACGTGCTCAAGGAGGTCTACGCCCTCTACCGCATGCTCGTCCATGCCGCCCAGCACGAGTCGCTCGGCACGCGGCTTCCGCCCTTGCGGCTCGCAGAGATGTTGGTCGGCCAGATCGCTGCTGGCGGTCTCAGGGACGGCATCGGGCCAGACGGATCGCTGCCTATCGGAGAGGATGGCCCGAGCGGTTCTGTGCCCAACGGAAATGGGCCCAACCGCGGCGCACTCAGGAAGTCCCTCGTCAAGGTGGACGTCGGCTTGGCCGCGAAACAGAAAGAGGGAAAAAACAAGAGGGCAGCCGCGTGGAGCAAGGCTATGCCTGCAAAGAAGAAGCCGTGGGGGCACAGGAAGAGGGCGACGTCGACGAGGAAGTCCGCACCCTCCACCGTACACGCCGTGGTCGAGGAGGTCGCGGGGATCCAGGCCTGAGGCGCAGTTCCCTGAATCTTGCGCTTCGAGGCACGAAGCGCCGTAAGATTGCCCTGCTCTTGCGCCGCTATTAGGCGTCGCCGCCGCACGCCTCTGTGACTGCACTGTTCAGTCGGGAGACAGTAAGACTGGGCGTGATAAGGAGAGCACGGTGATTTATGATCACTCTGCTCGGCCGCTAGCATTTTGCACGGCCACCGCAGGCATCATTTACTATCTTAGTACAGTCAGGAGGTTGCACGACTGGGGCTGCGAAAGAAAATGAAACCATGCATCGGGAATGTCGTACTTCTCATTGTTATTACCAGAAGTTTTGCACAATGCCCGTGGTCAGTGGTGAAGCTCGGATGCGTACCCCAGTATGCCATAAAGGTAAGCACCCAGATCTTCATACGTTGGAATGTTCTTGTGGCGGTCCCGGCGACCCCCAAAACAACCGAAAAACATCTCTTGCCCACTAAAGCTTTTTGAGTGCCAGAAACCTGGTAGTGGGCAAGAGCCTTTTTGGTGCTTCTGTGCAGCTAAATGTTTCTCGAGACCCGACATGCGGCCATTACGATTAATCCGCGAAGCCGGTGGAACCACAAACTTATCACAGGGAAGACCCAATGATCTTGCCCAGAACAAGACAAACACAAACATGATCTTTGCCCCTAGGGTCTTTCGGGATCGAGAAAGCTGATATTGAGCACGAGGGTATGTAGTTTAGTTTCTTGCGAGCCTACCCTTCGACTTGATTGGAATGCGGCATTTCAGTGCCACCTAATTCTTTAGAGCCTAGGTGGCCTAGAGGGAGCTCTCCTAGGCCGAATGGGCCTGTATGAGCCTGTCACACTGGTATGAACGTGATCCCGGACCAATTTGGCCGATAAAAAAATGGCCAATGAGATCCGCCTAGGCCACCTAGGCGATCCAGGGATCTATGTTATCTGGGGGGGGGGAGAGGGAGAGGAGAAGGAGGGAGGAGGAGGAGGAGGAGGAGGAGGAGGAAAAGGATGGGAAGGAGGAGGTGGATTAGGTGGGGGAGGAGGGTGGGTTAGTCGGAGGAGGAAGGGAAGGAGGAGGAATAGGAGGAGGAAGACGACGACGACGATGACATCGGAGGAGTAGGAGCATTCTTGGGACATCAAGACCTGGGGTTGCTTAGATGTGTGGGCCACTTTGAAGATCTGCCGGGCTCCTCTGTGCCGCTCTGAAGCCCGATGCGTTACAGTCGGATTTTATTAGTAGGTCGACCCTGCCATATGAAGGGTGCCCTTGTGTCCTGTCTATCCCGTCCCACGTCCTCTGCGCGTCTTCTGGTTGTTCAGGGCCGCGTTGTCCTCGGAAGAGTCTTGTGTCCTCTCGGGTGTCCTGTCCAATCAACTTCGACTGCATGCTTGCCAGCATCGTCGTCATCATCGTTACCTCCGTCTCCATTTTGGCTCAAGCGGTTTCTTACTACTGGGAACAACATCCTCGATACATTTTGCAAGTGGTGCGCCATGTCGACCTTTCGCTGTTCAGGGATTCTCGGTGTGGCGCGACTGTTTGCTGCCAGGCATTCTGTGGCGCTGCAAGAGGTTAGCGGCCGCCGCGCCCAAGCAGCGTATTATGATAGCCTGGAAGAACACAATATGTTGCAATATGTGTATGTGAAATATCATGTTATGAATCAGCAGGGTGAGGCTCACGATGTAAGGGTTCGCAGGTCCGCAGCTGCAATCCTTACGAACTGCAAGATAAACGAGGAATACACAGACCCTCAGACGGTCCTCTGTCTCCGCATCATAGACAAAGTCAGGGCGAAGTCATTCGAACGACGGATGGCCGCCGCAGTGTGTGCCACGATCAACGTCCGTGTCTTTCTGAAGGAATTGTTAAAGAAACTGCCGGGCGACGGTTGGACAGGCGATCAGTTTTGGGAAGCTGCTCATACTTTAGTGAACAATATTGACCCCGAAAAAAAAAAAAAAAAAAAAAAAAAAAAAAAAAAAAAAGAAAAAAAAACAAGAAAAAAAAGAAGAGAAAAAAAAAGAAAAAAAAAAAAAAAAAGAAAAAAAAAAAGAGAGAAGAGCTTTTCACCGGCGCCTTCAACCGGCAGGCGTTCAATTCGTGGACCAAACGTGATCTGGCGAACAAGCGCATGCACAGAATCAGAGACAAGTTGAGTGGTGATATCAATTTTGACAACGCATCGCGCCTGGAAGTGTCATTAGACCTTGTAAGAGCGTGCGGCAAGTTCTTGGGCAAGAACGCCTTTTCCTTGTTGGAGCAGTCCTACGCGAACAACTATCGCCGCCCCGGGTGGTGCTCGCAACACGGGTCGCTCATGGGGCCCGGCGCCTTGGCGGGCGTCAACATCATCAACGGGACATGGAAGCAGAGCGGGACGGGCAGCACGCAGCTCGGGGATGTGTTGCAGCAGTTCGACGACTCCCACGCTAATATGCAGAAGCTGCGCCGCTTGTTCCGGGAAGATTTGCAGTCTCTCCAGGTGTTGGTCAAGAAGACACGCGGCGCGAAGCGGGCCCTGGCTAGGGAGCTATGCGAAGCCGTGGAACACATTCTTGGTATGTCTGACACGGGCTTGCAGTTCGTGTACTGCGAGATAGCCAAGGTCGTCACGTTCCACTACAACCTCCACAAGCGGTACTGGCGCCTGCGCAAGCTGCGCGGCGACGCGGGCAATGCGGCTGGCAGCGACGCCGAGGACGGCGACCACGGGAGCGACAACGACGACTGAGCTCGTGGCGCGCACATGGCGGGCAGGCGCATCGGTACCACGATGGAGCTTGGAAGCGCACCGCCACGATGAACGTCCAGCGATGTCTGTCAAGCAGCCGCTGCGCCTGGAGGGCGGAGTGGCCCTGGCGGGAGCGATCCTTCTTCGCATGAGAGTGCTTTGCACGCAGAAAAAACAGTTCCTGCCCGCTATAGCTTTTGGGGGGCCAGAAACCTGGTAGCAGGCAAAAGCGTTTCGGAGTGTTTGGGTTTTTACCAGTGTCCTTCGAGGCCCGACTGACGGCCGTTGCGATTGATTATCGCGGCCACAGAAAACGACGACTTTGCGAAGATAAAGCTTATGGGGCCCTGCCCAAAAACACAAAAAAACGCTCTTGCCCACTAGGGCTTTTTTGGGGTCGGAAACTTGATAGTGGGTAAGAGCGTTTTGGCTCGTTTTGGCATCGCCCAATGTCAGGGCGGGCCCTGACTGACTGCCGCGCGCGTTAAGTAGCCGATTTTCATAGCAAACAATAAACTTGCCGAAGAAAGCCCAGGGGCCCAGCCCAAAAACACCCAAAAAAAACGCTCTTGCCACAAGTCTTTTTGGGGTTTCAGAAACCTGATGCGGCGACTTACAGATCGCACGATCTAATAGCAAACAATAACGCCCCCCCCCCCCCCCCGCAAAGAAACCCAGGGGCCCAGCCCAAAAACACCCAAAAAAACGCTCTTGCCCACTAAGTCTATTTTGGGGTCAGAAACCTGATGCGGCGATTAAGTAGCACGACCATAGCAAACAATAACTTTGCCGAAAGAAAGCCCAGGGGCCCAGCCCAAAAACACCCAAAAAACGCTCTTGCCCACTATGTCTTTTTTGGGGTCAGAAACCTGATAGTGGGCAAGAGCGTTTCGGCTTGTTTTGGCCGCGCCCAATGTTTCTCGAGGCCCGATTGACTGCCGCGGCGATTAATTAGCGCGACCATAGCAAACAATAACTTTGCCGAAAGAAAGCCCAGGGGCCCAGCCCAAAAACACCCAAAAAACGGTCTTGCCCACTAAGCCTTTTTCGGGGTCAGAAACCTGATAGTGGGCAAGAGCGTTTCTGTTTGGTTTGCGTGTCTTTTGATTGTTCGAGGCCCGACAGACGGGCGCGGCCCCCGAGATGCACCTATATCATCGTCATCGTCGCTACCATCACTGCAACCGCTGCGGCTCGACGGCAGAGTGGCCCCAGAGCGTGCTCGTCGCGCCCTTCGGGGAGGGAGAGCGAGCGCCCGCCGCTCGCGGTGCCAGCTAGAACGCGTTCGGGGATGTCCTGGGACGAGGGAGATCGGGGTCGGAGCCGCAGCCCGCGGCCGAGCCCGCGGTCGACTCCCGCGCCCACTCCATCCGCAGTGTTCTCTCCGGGCAAGTACAAGGAGAGCGTCTTCCAGAAGTTCGGCCGAAGTTCAAGCGCTTTCGCGGACCGCTTCACGGCGGCGGCCGACGACGTCGACATGGGCGACGACAATATGTCGTTGAACGATCAGGTCGCGAAGACGCACGCTGCCGTGAAGAAGCTGGTGGAAAGGAACGCGGAGCGCCTCGGGGACAAGTATGGCGAGCTATGCGTCGTGAAGACCCAGGTCGACGAGATGGAACGGGGCGGCGCCCGCGTCCACGACCTCTTCCTCCTGCGCGTGTTCATGGCTGTCTTCGGCGGGCCGAGGAGCCCGTGGCGCGCGCATGACGGGCAGGCGCATCGGTACCACAACGGAGCATTTCGGCACACCGCCGCGATGAACGTCCAGCAGGCCCTACGCCTGAAGCACGCGGTGAACCGAGCGGACGCGATCCTCCTTCGCATGAGCAAGGACAAAAACGTGAAGCGACCGTCTTGGGACGAGGGGTGGCTCCTTGACTACGCGAGCCCTGCCGCGGCGACGCAGGCCGACGTGGACGACGACCCCGATGAGAGCTTCTCGATCGCGCGCAAGATGCTCCGGGAAAGTTTGAACAGGTTTCTCACTACTGGGAACAACGTCAACATCCTCAAGACATTCTGCAAGTGGTGCGTCCAGCCGAAGCAAGCGGAGCCCACGTTGGCGTTCAAGGACAAGTGCTTGAAGATCCAGCCTGGCCAGGCAGCAAGGGAGATTCAAGAAAGCCCGAGGTCAACTGATCTACGCGTACAGGGACACTTACCATCAAGTTACAAGGCCGCCCCGCGGCCGACGTAGGAAGGTACGACCTCATGAGTGGCCTACCTGTACCGGGACGACGTGAACCAAAGGAGTGGGAAGTCCTTGGCGAGGCGCTGGCCCTCATGCACAAGCGGCAGCCACCTCGCGTGCGGGTTCGGAAGGGAAAAGGTAAGGCGCTCAGGACCGCGATCCAGCGATCTGGGGATCTAGGGCGCCTGGGGGGCCTAGATATGCGATCTATGCGATCTATGCGATCTATGCGATCTAGGTCGCCACCTGTGCGATCTATGCGATCTATGCGGTCTATGCGATCTATGCGACCTATGCGATCTATGCGACCTATGCGATCTATGTGACCTATGCGATCTATGCGATCTATGCGGCCTATGTCGCCACCTATGCGGCCTATGCGATCTATGCGACCTATGCGACCTATGCGATCTATGCGACCTATGCGATCTATGCGATCTATGCGATCTATGCGATCTATGCGACCTAGGTCGCCTAGGTCGCCGCCTGTGCGATCTATGCGACCTATGCGGTCTATGCGATCTATGCGACCTAGGTCGCCGCCTGTGCGATCTATGCGACCTATGCGATCTATGCGATCTATGCGACCTAGGTCGCCATCTGGGCCTAGGTCGCATAGATCGCATAGATCGCATAGATCGCACAGGCGGCGACCTAGGTCGCATAGATCGCATAGATCGCATAGGTCGCATAGGTCGCATAGGTGGCGACCTAGGTCGGCACCTATGCGACCTATGCGATCTATGCGATCTATGCGACCTAGGCCGTCACCTATGCGACCTATGCGATCTATGCGATCTATGCGATCTATGCGATCTATGCGACCTTGGCCCCAGATGGCGAACCTAGGTCGCATAGGATTGCATAGATCGCATAGGGTCGCATAGATCGCACAGGCGGGCGACCTAGGTCGCATAGATCGCATAGATCGCATAGGTCGCATAGATCGCACAGGCGGCGACCTAGATCGCATAGATCGCATAGATCGCATAGTTCGCAAAGATCGCACAGGTGGCGACCTAGGTCGCACAGATAGCATAGATTGCTTAGATCGCATAGGTCGCATAGATCGCATAGGTCGAATAGATCGCAACATAGGTCGCACAGATAGCATAGGTCGATAGATCGCATAGACCGCATAGATGCATTAGGTCGCAAAGATCGCCAGATGGCGACCTATGTCGCATAGAATCGCTAGGTCGCATAGATCGCGTAGATAGCATAGGTCGCATAGATCGCATTAGGATCGCATAGTCGACATTAGGTCGCATACATCGCAGGGGTTGCAATAAACGCATAGATCAGTGGTCGCCTCCCTCAGGTTGGCAACGGGCAAAAAAAAAAAAAAAAGTGGGGGGGGTTCGCTCTGCGGTCTTCGAAAGCTGACCTGGCTGCGCTCGGGCGAGACCATGTGTGAAGGTTTTGCCAGCACGTAATCCTCACCAGAGACAGGGAGTTCCCAGGTTCCGCCAAAGCGTCTCATAGGCGCCATGGGCCGTCATCTTCCAGGGAGGTGCAGAAGGCGGAAGATCCAGGAGGTTCGGGTAAGAATTTGTTCGCCAGGGCAGAGCTGCTCGTTCGTGAGAATCATGGGAAATCAGAGGACGAGCGCCATTACGCGTGGTCGTTCGCGGACTTCGTCATCGAGTTGAATCACGCTTTCCGCATCGAGTGCGACGATGATGCGCTTCACGCCTGGCGGCGCCGTCTGCTGCTGATCGCCTTCGAGGGCGACTTCACTCGCAACACGGCCTTGGTCTCGGTTGAACATGGCCTCTTCTTGGCTGACCCCGAACTGGAGGACTGGGCCTCATCTGGCGTGGCGGGCTTCATCCACATGACCCGAGGCATCCTGCCTCTCGTCGAGAAGTACTCGGCGTCCGCGGCCTACGACAAGCTGGACAATCATCACCAGCGCGCGCAAACTTAGCAAACGAAGGTTCTGAACGAACCAGGGCGCGGACGGCCGCGACGGAGCTGGACTGGTCTCGGCGGGCTGCGTGGCCACGGGCGACCAGGGCGGACCGCCGCGTCGGATTCCACTCTCTCGGGCTTCCACGCTCCTAGCCGTCATGCATCTCGACGAGGACACCTGCATGACGGACAGCCAGCGAGAGCGCGCGAAGGCGGGGGCTTGCATCAAGGGGGGGCGGCAGTCTGACAAGAAGGATGCCTGGGACCGCATGAAGGCCGCGGCCATGTGGAAACCCGTAGTGCGACAATGGGGCCGCAAGGTCCCCTACTCCTATCCAGCCTTGTGCGCCGACGCCGACCTCAGCGCACTGTTCCCGGACATTGACAACCTCGCGATTCCCATCGGGGCCGTCTTCCCCGAGAAAATTCAATTTGGCACCGACCTGAAGGACTACGCGAGGTGCCGGAGAGGAAGCGCAACCACCATGCGCTGATCAAGCATCTTGAGGCAGCGCAAGCAGGGGCGGCGGGCGTCAGAAAGCAAAGCAGGTCTTCGCAAGATGACCTGGAATAATTTCAGGCGAGGTCGCGACACGAGCAGTCGCTCAAGTCAACCTGGGCGGCGGCTAACCAGTTGCTCGAGGAACGTGAGGGCGGCGATGGGGCTCTCCAGGTCAAGTACCACTTCCCAGCCATCGGGGACTTGCGCGTGCGCAGCAGGAGACGCGCAGAGGGCACGGCGTCGCAGAGCCTGAGCAAGCAGATCCAGACTATTGTGCAGCCAGACGTCGTGAAGTTGGACTGGCGCAAATGTTTCCTGACCCTCGCGCCCCAGGTCATGAAGCGCATGAAGATAAATCTGAACGGCCACTCCTCGGAGCAAGGGCGCGCC